TATATATATATATATATATATTTATCATCTACACTTCATAAGCAACCCACAGAGTGTATAACAGATAGATCTGCAACATTGATGCCTGAGAAGAGTGAACAATGATTTTATATTTTCGAGCAATTGTCTGTGTAATAGAAAACGTGCTAATCCCTACACGTTGGAGATGGCATTAGGGGTACATATATTTTCTGGAATGTTTTCCCATGGGCACGTACTAATGTAATATTAACCCTGATGTAACATTCATCTTTGGTGCTTGCATTAATACCTGGTGAGCAGCAACCTTAGGCCTAGGGAAAAAATGTTGTGTTTTCCTGTTCCAGTCCTGAAAAAATTAGGGATTTTTTTCTTTCTTTTTGTTTAGACTATGCCAATCTCTACTAGTGAGCCAACTCATGCAATACAGTTTAACAAAATAAAACTTGCATGAGGACAATTATATTTTCAATGTCAATGTTGGAAAACCGATTGTAGAATGTTTCATTACTCAGGTGTCAGATTATGGAGCTAGAAAAGGCTAAAAAGAATTATGTCCCTTGCAGGGATCCAGTAAAAAAAAGGTTAGGGTCGGTCAGGAAACAGGAAACACTATTTTTTTTCCTAAGCCTTAAACTTGAACAGATGTTTGTGAAACAAGAGAAAGTAATTTTTATTTATGAGGCCTGTGTTTTAATTTTCCTTTGTTTATGTCTGTCTGACGGGGAGCATTCTGATTTGTATGCCCTAGAGACGTACACATAGGAGCATACGGGCCATATTCATTCCCAAAACTAGAACAAAAAGAACACTTAAGTTCTTCATTCACAACGTCTTATTTATAACAGCCAGTTGTTTACAAGAGGTCTCGTAAACAAGAGAAAGCAATGTTTTATTGATCAGGTTTGTGTTTTGATTTTGCTTCATTTGTGCCACGGATACGATTGTAATTTGAAGGCCCCAAAAGCGCATACATAGAAGCTAGAACAAAAAGAAGTTTAAATCAAAGTACTTTATTGACAACAACTTGTTTATAACAGGCACTTGTTTCCAATAGGTCTTGTAAACAAGACAAAACAATGTTTTATTTATCAGCTTTGTGTTTTGATTTTGCTTTATTTGTGACCACGGATAAGATTGTAATTTGAAGGCCCCAAAGGCGCACACATAGAAGCATACATATCATATATATTCCAAAAGCTAGAACACAAAGAAGTTTAAATCAAATTTTATTGACAACCACTTGTTTATAACAGCCACTTGTTTTCAAGAGGTCTTGTAAACAAGACAAAGCAATGTTTTATTTATCAGGCTTGTGTGTTAATTTTCCTTTGTTTATGTGTATCTCATGGGTAGCATTCTGATTTGAAGGCCCCAGAGGCGTACTCATATAATCAAAGTTCTTTATTGACAGCCACTTCTTTATAACAGCCACTTGTTTACAATACCGGTTGTGAATAAATAACTTTGAATCATTAAACAATCAGATGAAACTATTTACAAACGGAGAACAAAAACACTTTAAAGCTCATTGCTTCAACAGGCCACAAAGATATGTATAACAAGATTCTAGAAATTATATATTTTGTACTGGTCGTCTTTGTTTGTGTATAACAAACTGTTATTGTAAAATCAACACTAAGCGTACATGTCTGTGTGTGCAATTAACTTTTATTGTACATAGTCAATCAGGCATGTTATTACATGCAAATATGTATACGATGTTGCTTAGAAATAAAGATGATATAAAAGTCATACCCATCAACCGAATTGTTGTCACGGTCTTCTACTTCATTGTTACCTAATTACCATATTAACTACCTGGAATACAATAACAATTAACTGAAATGCATTTTGTAGATTTGACATTGCCTGTAGGTTTGCCAATGTCAACATGTTTACCACTGGGAATTTATCTTTCTATGATAAGCCAAGTGGAGACAATATCATTCACATAATTAGGCCAATTAAATTTGTTGGTTCACGGATTCGCCCGCTTCACTTTTTTCCTGATTTGAAAATTATAGCCTCTGATCAACTCCAAAGTGCTCATATTTTGGGCACAACAGTTGAATGAAGCCTCTTCTCTTACAGTAGAGTAGAGTTGTTTTACATGTATCCAGTTTTTCAATGTATCAATGCTGTGGTTTGATTGAGAGTTTGAAATTCATTGTTTGAATTGAACAACAGCCTGGTATGTTAACTACATGGCTCCTATCATAGCATTTGGGGTTATCATAGGATGCCTAGGTCTTTTTTATTTCTTTGTTTTTCATTTTTATTTAATTTTTTTTTATTTTTAATTTTTTTACTCTTTTATGTTCTTATTTTTATTCGGTTTTTAGTTTTATATGCTTTAGTGTTTATTTTTTATTGTTTAATTTTTAATATTTTTTTTTACTTTTTTTATATTATTTTTTCCTCCCTGTCACTTCTTTCCCGGAAAATCCGAGAGCCAAAAAATCAAACTAGTTTGTCATTATGATTTTGTCATGGCAATGTCAGTTTGCTGCATCTACCAAACCGTCTGCTGTGCTTTTCTCTATTCCGCTGGGGAATCAGACGTGCGGTGGGTTGAACTTCAAAGGCACCGCTGTCAGTTGCAAAGGCAGCTTAGGAATTGCTGACAAGAACAGTCTTGACGTCGAGGTCAACAATGCACCATCCAAAATTATATCTAATAAGAGTTTAGGTTTCACCGGGCAATTAAAGTTTGACCGATATTAATGAGGAATTATGGTAAGATCAACAGCATGCTACATGGAGGTTATGTTCATACCAATGGAACAAGTATGATTAAGTACAATTTACTTATTTATTTATTTATATCAAGTCCAGTTAACCCTATACATCTGATGGGCTGTTATTCTCAATAGTTTGTTGGTGGACATTATTTGCTTTCAAAATGGTTATTTATCAGTATCTGTGTCTGTATAGCCGGTATAACCGCCCTTCGGCGTAACACACCAGTTTTGCAGGCACGGCGGCAGCTAGCTATATCACACCGAACGACTTGTTACACTCAATCTTTGCACATTTAATTGCAGGAGTTGTTTAAGCTTTCTAGTGATGATGCCTCAACTATGCTTGGTGGCAACGAGTTCCAATCTACTTGTACTTCAGATTTAAAAAAATACTTGCTTGATTTGCCAAACAAAAAGTCAGTGACACATGGTTGTGCTTATGCAAATACAGTTTAGAAATACCCACGGTTTGGAATTGGATCACGGTTTGGAATTCGTTGTCTCCATGATATGCATTCTAGTGTATGAGCCACACACACGATTAACTAAACCGTTAAGGCCTGAGCGAGATCAATCCAGCTTTAACGTAGATAAAGCGGCTTATATGGTCTTAGTTACAAATAAGAAAAGAGATGGAAAAGGTTGATCTTATCTGCTAGCCTAGATCCTTATGGACTACTGGAGGAGTTGAAAATTAGGACATGTATATATCATGGATGGGAAGTGGTGAATCCCTGACTACTGATGGTCGTTGGTGAATCATTATCGCTCACTATTCAACATTTTTGCACCAAAATTATTTAATTTCAATTTAAAAAAATCTTTTCATATTTGATTGATTTTTACATCTATTTGCAATGGATTAGCGTTGATTTAACTTCCTTTTTAAAAAAAATGACCAGATAGAAAATTTTGTATCGTCCTAATATTCGATATTGCAGCTATAAGAATGCAACATTAGCCATTGCTCGCATCCTTACCCATCTGTGCCCGAAAGACTATCTAGAACACTAAGTTTTCACCATAACGG